CACTTAACAATTCTAAATGATCACATTAACTTGTCTAGGTCGTGCTTTGCGCGTGCTCATCACGTTGTCATTTTCATCTGAGCCATATTACTCACCGACAAGACATTGTAAGAAATGGTCGGCTCACTTTTCTGCTGGCGAAATTGGGGAAAAATTTGATTTAGCCCACCACTGAAAGCAGCACGTTTCCCACTGAGCCGACTTAGCTCGCAGTGCGGATCGCAGATGTTAGCGCGCAGATCATCTCAAAGTTCGAGTATGAGGTCTGAAAATGTTCAAAGACCCAGGAAAACAAGACGATTCACGCATCGGATGGCCTTGGTTATGTCTGTGGGCCTCAAATTCGCTATTAGGGCCAACAAATTGGAGAACAGGAAAATAGAGGGCCCTATGATGTTAAGCGCGTCACATGAACAAATCAAATCTTGAAGACTGAGGAGTAACCGAATCCCGCTACCCTGCTGCTGTCAGACCTCTCACCGCCCGTATCACAGCAGACCTCTCACCGCCCGCATCACAACGTGACGTCAGACCTCTCACCGCCCGCATCACAGCGTGAGGTTCTAACAAAGTGCTGACGTTAACGCGCGCCCGGATGGCTGGTTAGATACCCTTCGCTCAGGTGGAAGCGAATTTGATCCCCCTGAAATTTTAGAAACTAAGGAAGTTAGAGATACCAAATTTACAGGGTGTATTAACCGGTACGTGAACTCACTTAGATCAAAATTTGAGGATACCAGGTCATGACTTTCTGGTAAAATAAAGTCAAACAAGGTCAAATTTCAGGCTGATCTCCCAAGGGCCCCTTGAACCTAGAAAACTATTTTAAGAAAAATGCTCCATGGCTCATCTAAGGTCAGTGGCCCTTGGTTGACCTTTTGAAAGTCATGGTGACCAAAATCATACAAGACCGCTTTGAGTTTTGCATTTGGATAAGCGACCATTACGCTAGGCAGTATGTTCCTATAAACAAAATGCTGACCTGGGTCATCGTGTGTCAGTAATCTATTCTGACCTTTAGGTAGTATATGGAAGGTGTATAGTGTGATTACTGTTGTCAATAAATTCGAAATGAGCACCAGAAGCTACCCCATACAGCAAGCCCAAGAGTAAAAAGACAGGTTGGCTTTGACCTTGGTCTGACCTTCATAACTGATCTCAGGTCAATGCAATTTGTTAATTGCATTGTTGTGTTGCCTAAGACAGTATCTCAGATATGCATGGCCTCGTCCAAAACTTCGTTGTTGGATCAGATTGAACGAGATCCTAGAAATTGCCTTCGCTGAAAACATGACCTGACTTTTACCCGCCATAGATCAGTGACCTTTTAAGGTGCATCTGAACGTTTAAAACCAGACGATCCGTCATGTAATTTTTCACAGCTGTACAAAGTGTGGCGCGGCTACGCCGCGCCGTTCGGAATTCATCCCGGAAAACCTTCGAGGGGGGAGGGTCAATTGGACCCCCCCCGAGCATGTGTTAACGGAAAGCCAACAATGCTTGCTGGCTTGCGTGGGCAAGCAACGAGGTGTAGACCTGACACTACCATGCATGCGTATGCGTGGTGGCATTTCACAGCGGGGTAATATTGTGAGCTGTGGTGAATATGTAATGCCGGGGAATATGAACAGGGCACTTGGAGCTTCCCGTTGGTTCATAAACTAAGTGCAGCCTGTAGTCGGAAGACAGCCTCAGCAAACTGCATTCTGCGTATTTTTTTACCCATATTCGAGATCCCGGGCGGGCTGGACAACAGCACTGTTGCAACTCCGGCAGACGTAAGTGGGGCTTCAGTTCTCCTGCCAGCTGGCAGTGCACCTCATCGCAGTGGGCTGGTGGACTCCAAGAACGTTCCTATGCACCATGTTTCTGATATGCAAGCGTCAGCAGTCAGGACGTCCACGGGCGTTGTTAACATGGTCACAATCCTGTCGTAAAAATGGTTCTTGACAATACATCTCTGCCCAAAGTGACCGACGCCTGCTGTGAAAGAGCGTGTGTTCAGACCAAACTTCGAAACCAAACGTCATGCATAGGATAGGAGGAAATTTCGATTCCGTCAAACGACATCAGTCGTTTGTGCCAATTTGCTCCCGTCAACCTGATGTTTCACGTGCTCCAATATTGTGCTGCAAGATCAAATTAATCGGGCTACCCCAAAATGTTTTTTTTCACCATAATGCAACGGTACTATAGCGAATGTAGGCATAGCGTCACTGCACGGTCTTCCGATTCGGGAGCTCGTCAGCGATGATAGAAGGTCCCGAACACCCGAACATCACAGTTCCGGCCATTACGAGAATGTTCCATTTGTTGACATTAAGCTTTCCATTGCTTTTTTGTCTAGGGGGGGGGAGACAATCAGTCCTACCACGCCCGAGAATTAATGTTGAACTGCTGAAGTCTACACATTTCGCGCAGCTTTGCCACATTTAACAGGGATTTTCAACGACTGTCATACCAAGGGGTGCGTCAGACCCATTCACATTATGTAGATGATTCACCTGTTTTCAGGAATTGCGGCCTCATTTGCAATAAGCTTTGAGGTTAAATAGTGAATCCTAGTCATTGGTGAGACACAGTGCGAAGGCCTCCGCATGACCAGTGGAAGCATGGTTGGTATTAAATGATGGGGCTAGTATATATAGGTTCATCTGATTATGTATAATACAATTCTTAAATCTGACGTTATTGATTTTATTTCACCTAGATAGCTGTGCGTCTGCTGTTCTGTATGGCATCTGTTTCGTTTACTAACGGCAGGTACTTTGCAGCGTAAGTCGCCACGGTCATGGCGTATTCTTCCTGTTTACCAGGAGTGCAGTATAAGATGAGTTGATGATATGCAGCTTTGCCAGAGAACTTGCTGAGGTCTGTATGACCGCGTGGGGACATGAACATGGTTGTCCCAAGACAATCTTTAACTTTAATTACAATACGTTATTTCGTTCTTTTTATGTTATGCCCAATAGCACAAGAGGAATAACGTAAGAATGACCAGTTAGAATGCCGATGTATTCGGACCCTCAAGCCAATCTAGCTTTCTTTTCTCCCACTGCAATCGCACTGGCTAGTGCTGGTGATGTAAAAACACACACACAACACCACACACACACACACACACACCTAAACAACACACAACAAAACACACACACACACACACACACAACACACACACACACACAACACACACAAACACACACACACACCACACACACCACACACACACACACACACACACACACAACACACACACAACCAACACACACACCACACACACACACACACACACACACAACACACACACAACACCACACACACACACACACACACACACACACACACACACACCACACACACACACCACACACAACACCAACACACCAGCACCACACACACAACACACACACACAACACACACACACACACACCACACACACACACACACACACACACACACACAACACACACACACACACACACCACACACACACACACACACACACAACACACACACACACACACACACAATTGTCCAAGGTATTGATCCAATTTTTTCGCATTTACATTTCCAAATGGTTTCGGTAGTTGGTCGTCAGGCGGGCCACCATGCGCGGGACGATATAGTGCTTTGAACCGTATACTTCAGTCAGTGCTTTGCCTAGTTTACCCCGGGATTGAACCCGCCGACCTATACCGAGAACACATGCTGACGGCTTTAGGATATATGCTGTCAAATCTCCTACCATAGCATCCGCCCGCATTGGCTTCAGCGCAGCAGAACGGCGATTGCCTGAGTCGACCGATCTGAGGCGACCGTAATCGTGTCACTGCCACGCGGCCATCTGGGACCTTTTTATTCGGTCATTTTCGTATCTCTACTACTCTACGACATTCGGCCTTACTCTACTCTATCGCTCTACCCCAAGATCGACCATCCGCTGTATTGGGCAACCAGTGATGGATGATAAAATAACCATCATAACAACCACAGGTGAATTCGTCTCGCACTAGTCTTTAGCAATACGTAATCGTCTAGCCCACCTACATCCAAAGCTCCTCTGGTTTGTTTGGGCACCATGATTCCAGTCAGAATATATTGCTGATGCCGGTCAAAAACACACACAGTACTTTGGCATGCACTCATTTCATACCTATAGAACAGGTCACACTCGAACGCGCGTTCAGCTAGATAGATCATGCTCTGCATTGGTCCGAATACATGCTCGAGTGCATTATTATTAAACATTCCGTGACTTGTTATTTTTGTTTTGTTAATACATAGGCTGTCGTTTTGAGCAGGTCTAATAATAATGACTGCAAACACCATAACCGCACCACAATCGAATAACACTGAATTTGCTGTGCGTAGTGGGCTCTAACTAGCAAATAGAAAACGTTTGCAAATGCTCGTGGTAAGGATATTGCTCACGTACATCTCATGATATAAATAACGAGCTATCTGTATATGTTTCGGCACAGCTCATTCGCTCCTCGTCGGACGGCAAGCTTGTAACGACTCCCGGAGAGCGCCGCAAAGGGCCTGTTCGTGAGGGGTGATTTCGACATAACTCTTTCTACCGTCTCCAGGTGATCAATGACACAGGGGTTCAGGACATGCACACTGCGACCGGTTTTTTTTGAAAAGACGCTTTGGTCGCCTGTGATGAAGGTGGCAACGTCGCCCCAGCACAACCCTGGGACGGCCGCAGACCGGATCGCGACAAATCGGCGTTCTGAGGCCCCCTCGCTACGGACGTCCATCGCTACGACGTCCGCTTATACGACTCCTCGCTCGCTACGGACGTCCATCGCGACGCACCTCCGTGGGCCGTCTACGATGAACGGCGCTCGGGCCTGGCCGTAACCGACGGCGGCGGCCCTCCCCTAGATGTTGTTGGAGGCTGGTGGCTGCTGGGCGGCCATGTTGTACTCCGCGCGGTTGGCGCGCCGCCGCAGCCGGGTTCACACAGCCGGTTGTCGCAGAGCGGCCCGGGCGGTTAGCAGGTGCGGCGGGGTGCTTGGCCTTGTACTCCTCCCACTCCGTGCGGTGACGTCGAGCGCGGTCCCCAGTCGTCGGTGGGCTGGCTGCAGATCTTCAGCCGCTCGGCCAGCGTGCCCGGCGTCACGGCCAGCAGGTAGACGGCGTACCCGGGCATCATGAGCAGCGATGCCAGCGCCGACAGCCAGCCCACGCCCTGCGCCCAGGCCGGGAACTCCACGTCGCGGTAGTTCACCGGCGTGTTGAACACCAGCGTTGTGATGAAGATCAGCTGTGGCAGGCGGGCGGGCTGTGAGTGGCACGATCGGACGGCCACGACCCACGACTGGCTGTTTTTAACGCTTCTCACTGTTGCATACTGCTTCAGATGTATTGTGATCTTACTGTTTTAACTGTGAGGAATTGACGAGGGAAAGCAGCAGTTCAGTTTTTAATTGCTTATTAATTTTTTCAACGCATACAGTGAACCGGTCGGGCATCAGCCAGTGTCAGAAGATGCACAGACATATCAAGTTATTAATCCCAAGTTGTACCGATATTGTTGATGAGCATTCGAAAATTAAATACGCCAAAACACCTAAAACACGAAGTTGACGTGACAGTAGCTCGCGATGGTTACCAGGGCCAGTGCTAATGTAGCTTACGATCAGGACGATGGGCGTAATAAAGTTCCAGCAAAGTCTCCACCAGGTTCCGATAGGTCTCTGCGCCATGAACTCCACGTCACGGACAAACTTCCCAGGGCCTGTGACAAAGACACATGTGCACACCAAGACACAAGACACACAAGACACACAGTGAGCAGAGACAGCCCACTACGCACGACAGTTGCAGGTATTGGCGAGGAGGCGTCACGTACGAACGTAGTCAGCAACAAGCCATTTGTGCGAGTTGTCCTGCAGTCGTATCATGCAATAATGCCATATTTTTAGCTTGATATAAGCAACAGCAACGGTCGCGACAGTGTTTAAAACAGCGCGGTGTAAAGCTATCGACAAATCGAGGCCATCTGACGCCCGCTATCGACAAATCTAGGTGCAGCAAATCAAAAGCTGGCAAACACCCTTCCGGTAGTACTTCCAGGCAGACGTGTTCGACTTCAGCTGAATGGAATATTGGCTCACGAGCCAATCGCTTTAGGGTGAGTCGGGAGCTGAGTCGGCTCGTTAGAAAAAAATGTCCCTTTATGCCCCTCGTGACAGTGAGTCATATGGCTTAACTTAAAATGCTTACATGAGGAAGCACAGCACGCCCAACACGCCCAGGACAAATTTACAGACCATTTCAGGGTGTTGAAATGAACATTATGCAGCATTAGTTTTAAAAAAAAACTTTTACAAAACCAGCACGGAGTGCTACCAGCGCAATTCGTTCCTTGGCTATTTGGGCCCATTTTTCATGCAATTATACATCCATATGTGTATATATGTATATAATATATACATCAATATGTGTATATATGTGTATATATAATAATCATATATATAATGTGCACGATCACAAAGCGACTAGCGGAACTGAATCAGATCTTTGATATTGCGAGCATGACCCAAATGATTCAAGCATGCAGACATGACCGAACACAAGTGAGTCATGACACATGACACAGGTGATTAACACAGACGATGAGTCTGAACTGAGCCGAATAAAAAATTGAGGGACCATAATTCATGAGGTGAATCAGATCCCAGAGCCTGAGTCGGTCTTGAGCTGGCTCCAAAACATTAAGTCAAGAACAAGTCTGCTTCGAGGACAGCGAAGCCTCGCAGAGTGAGCGCCCGAGTCGGCGACCTACCGTAGATCCAGGCGAAGGCGATACACTCGCAGATGCAGACGAGGATGACGGACATGGAGGCGCAGTACCAGTCGAGTATCTGCAGCACGTACATGCCGCCCTGCGGGTTGGGCGGGACGATCAGTAGCTGCATGGCTCTCACTGCACAGGTCAGAACACAATGGGCAGGCCAAACGGTCATGTTCTTATAGCAACATTGCCGGAAATGTCCGGGACAGAATCCCTTTGTTTGGCAGTAATTAGGTACAAGTTAAGAAGACATCAGGCGCCATCGTCGTCTGATGCCGTCAGGCAATTTGTACCACCCCAGCCGTATCACCAGCGTGACGATCGCTCTTCCGCTTCTTGTGACGATCGCCTGTGACACATGGACACTCCCGCTTCTCCCGTGTGACAATCCGTATGAATGGCGCACCCTGCCACGCATGTGACGCAGGCCTGCTAACCCATACACCACCGACTGTCTTATCTATGCGACCTCCCTCTCCCACCCGTGTGACGCCGCGCTCTCACCTGCGTGACGCAGGCTAGAGAGATGAGGCTCATCAGCATGCAGAGGACGAGAGTGATGAGAGGCTTGCGGTGCCGGTGCTGCGGAAACTCGTCCAGCAGCGACGACACGACCGTCTCGATTTGCACGAACTCGCTGTCGATGCCCAGCAGGAAGAGCATGAAGAAGAAGAGGACGGCCCAGAAGGGGGCGGCTGGCAGCATCGCCAGTGCCTCAGGGTAGGTGACGAACGCCAGGCTGGGGCCTGCGGGTCGTCGGCCAGGTCAGATTAGTGCGAGGTGATGTCCAGACTAGGTCCTGCGGACCACTGACCGGTTTGGACTGGGGCTTGCGGACCACTGACCGCGTGGGACTGGGGCCTGCAGATCGCTGGCCGGGTCATACTGAGGCTTGCGGAGCACTGAGCGGGTGAGACTGGGGCCTATTGACCGGGTCAGACTGGGGCCTGCGGACCACTGGCCGGGTCAGACTGGGCTTGCGGACCACTGACCGGGTGAGACTGGGGCCTATTGACCGGATCAGACTGGAGCCTGCGGACCACTGGCCGGGTCAGACTGGGGCTTGCGGACCACTGACCGGGTCAGACTGGGGCCTATTGACCGGGTCGGACTGGGGCTTGGGGACCACTGGCCAGGTCAGACTGGGGCTTGCGGACCACTGGCCGGGGCAGACTGGGGCCTGCAGGCCGTTGACTCCGGACCGACGGTCGGGGCAGAATGCGTACGGCCAACGAACAGCAGACTAGGTCCCCCACCAACCAGTGACTCTGCTAGAGATGGAAGGTATGAACGTATAAAAATTTCTGAGAATAGATCTACGTGCGGGAGACGCGAAATGGAAATCTAGTTAAGACTGTTGATTACCAGCGCTGAAGGCCGTCGACACAACCACGACCATGTCAATTGCCCACAGTGGTTTGTGTCGGTACTTTTCTCACATGGTGGTAACGAAGTTTAGAATTTCAGCTTATCAGACTCAAACCCAATACCAGGCAGGTAGTCCGTAAAACGAGACGCAGGACGACTATACCATAATATCGTTTGATAGTAGCTCGAGCAGACGTAAACTTCTCGTAAGTCATTTACAATTATCTTTCAATTTCGTTTGTTGACGTTGGGATCGTTAAATCCAGACCACAGGCAGGCTCCACCAATTCTTTCACCTTTCACTCCGCTACTCTGCCTGGACTATCCTCGTCAACCTGGCGGACAGCCGGCTCGAGAGTGGTGGGCGTGAACATGGTACCGATGGTGACAGTGCGCGGAGGCTTCCCTGAGATCGCCCCGCCCTGCTACGATTCAGCCGCTTCCTTGCGACTCGGGTTTTCCCCAACGATTGGAAGATCGTGTGTATAGTGTTCATCCTGACATCAGGCGATCTGAATCTGTACCAGTTAATGAAAGACCCCTATATCTCCTAAGCATGCTACCTAAATTGTTATCTAAATCTCAGCTGGTCACATTCTTGTCAGTGACCAGTTGAGCATTTATATAGATTGTAACGGCTTCCTCAGTCCTGCCCAATACGCTTGCCGGCAATGTCATTTGACTCTGGACGCTCTGCTCGACGCCTTCGGAGGCCTGGTGAGAAACATCGACAGAAACTTCCCATATCCTCGATACCAGGTGCAGCAGGTGTCGGGCTATCCAAGGGCTTCATGATCAATTTGTAACAAAGCTTCCGTAGTACGGCGTCGATCCCGAATGATCGCAGGCCATCTTAGTACTCGGAGTAAGGCGGTGCGTGGATGACTGACGAACCTGCCAATGCTCCATGGGGTGTCTCAAGGATCCATAATTGGTCCACTGTTATTTACTCTGTTCACAAACGCTTTGTCCAGTCACCAATGACATAGTCCGCTCAGCTCATATGCAGATGACTACCAACTTCTGGGCCGTGTGCATCCCAAAACAGTCTTAGACCACCAAAAGCAGTCTGGAAATGAAAAACCCAGGTTTGTTACACCGAAAAATCTCTGAAAATCAAAAAGGCAAACCGACTTCGGGCTACGGCTATCGGTCTACGCGATGAAGATAACTTCATTAATTTTAGGCAAAATGTTGGGGAACAACAGATGAAGCCTGGAAGCCTAGAAAAGTTGTTAAAACAGGTGTTGTTCCCCACTGTAAATAAAGTATATCACGTATGAAGAGGTGCTAAAGGTACATCCGGGCTTCCAAAGAATGCCAGTAAGAACGCCTGGCTGGATTATGGCCTATTGCCGCAGCCGTCATCTAAAGGCCCATTGCCGCAGCCGTCATCTTAAGGCCCATTGCTAGTGATCACCATCTCTGTGCACTGCAATCCCAGCCCATTTTATCGTGTCTGAATTCGCCACTGAAATAATGTTTTAGAATGCTCTTTACTGCATGGCAGCAGACGATGGAATGCAAAATTATCATCTACTCATTCTTTTTTCAAATGCTATGAACTCCTAACCCCCGTTCCTGGAGATACCCGTGCCCTAAGTGTTTATTTTTCTTCCTCTGGGGCCAGATGTGCGCATATTTTCCGACATAGTCCACCATCGCACCGTAGTGCTGGTATACCTTAGCACGGGCGGAACCACGGGTTTTGAGTCAGGGTTTCGTTGAGCTAAAACAGGGCCTCCTGTTCGAGAAAAAGGCCTGTCGCAGCACTTGCATATATGCACAGAGGGGCCTCGTAATCCAGAACAGGATGCTTACGGTTCACGATGGGGCCTCCAAATTTAGTCAGGGAGCCTAGCTACGCTCCTCCTTTTTCTCGGTACGTATCAGAAAATTGCCCTCGACCCTTTTTCATATTGTCTTTATAGCAATGACCTCTCTTTGCACGTTGATGATGCGGCTATAATTCAGTACGCTGACAACGCCCAGGTTTTTGGCTGCAGACCACAGCATAACTCGGCTTGAAACGCTCTGAAAATGGAACCTGGCCTGACTGTACTAATGTGATAGCTGTGGAAAAACGCCATCAAATTGCAAACTAACTGGAGTGATCGCGATAGCATCTTGCCCAAACCTCAGTCGGCGGCCACCAGTCTCGCCTTAGTCAGAATAAACGGTGCGATTGTCAACGGACGTCACAAGCTGAGAACCGGGGTGTCATATTTGACATTCCTATGCCTGTTAACCCCAGCACTTTATCCACGGTGAGGCGCTCCTCGGCCACATTGCTGTCACCTTGCCGTACTACCTAGCCCTGTCTACCCCGTACTACCTTTTCTAGCCCCGTTCTACCTGTCCTACTACGTAGTTTCTACCTGGCGCCGTAAACGAATCTGGCATGGCGTCAATCCGATCCTGT